ATTTTTTTTAAAATTTTTTTTTTTTTTTTTTTTTTTTTTTGTCTTTTTTCCGTGTCTGGCAACGGATCGCAACCCTCAGCGTTGCGCCCGCACAGGACCGGGGACCGGCAACGGGATCGCAAGCCTCAGTGTTGCTCCCGTGCCTCGCTCAGCCAGTGAGCGGGAACCGGTCTGTATGTGGGATCCGAACCCTCGGACGGGAGCGCCGCCGCGCTTCCCAAGCAGCGCACTGTAGCAGTGCGCCACCGGGCTGGCCCCTGTAAATCTTCACTTATTTATCTATATTAGTATTATGGGGTGAATAGGAAGAAAAAGTAGGAAGAGGCCTTTGGCTGAGAATCAGTTTGGTCCAACCTGCATCATTTTGGGGGGTAACAGCTTTACTGAGATATAGTTCAGTCACCATAAAATCCGCACTTTACTGTGTGTGGCTTGCTGGTCTCTAGTATACCCACAGAGCTAGCAACCATCGCCCAATCTAATTTTAGAACACTTTCAGCACACCCCACCAAAAATACCCTTAGCAGTCACTCTCTACTACCCTCTCCTTTCAGGTCCCTGGCATCCACTCATTTACTTTTTGTCAAGTCCCATCAACTCGTAGATGGGGAAACTGAGGCTTAGAGAAGGGAAGTGACTTGTCCAAGGTTACAAAGCAGAGCCTCAGTACTCAGAACTCTGGCCCCAGTTGTTTCTCCACCACACCACCTCCCTCTGGCTCAGAAACCTCCCTGCGCCCCACTGATTCTGGATGCCCCAACCTCACCTCTCTGCACCCTGCCCCCTGAGGTGCTCTCCCTGGGGCTATACTCACGGAGTCCGATTTTGGCCAAATGCAACCTGTTGACCCAGGAAATCTTGCTCAGGGGGTTGGGGGTGATGAAGACCACCATGAAGCTGATGGGGCGGCCGGACCTGCAGAGAGAAGGGCAAGGGTGGAGAGCGTGAGTGCCCAGAGCAAGGGTCTGGCTCCCCTGGGCAGTCACTCAGTTCTTCCTGCAATCCACATGCCCCAGGAGATAGAGCAAGGTCTGGCCAGCACACCCCCAATGCATGGCCAGACAGGCCAGTGACCTGGAAGAGGCTCAGTCCCCTGGGGGAGGAATGCCTCCAGCCATTATGGCCCTGGGAGAGATGAACCTGGCTAGAGTGGCCGGGCACCATCTTCTAACCTGTCCCCAGCGCCTCTGGCTTTATGCCTGGCAGAACCTCTGTAGGCTGTCACTCCACCTGGTCAGCCTTCCACAGGCCTCGTCAGACATGTGGCATGTCTGATCTCCAGCCTTTGGAGGGTGGAAAGGGTCTCACTCAAGTCTGTGGCCAGTGCCTGGCTCAAGCAGTTGCTCAGTAAAAGTTTGCTCCGTGGACACACAAGTGAAGGAAGGAAGGAATGAACGAGGTTGAGCACAAGCTTGGGGTAGCCAGAGGTCACTGTTGTCACCACACTGTCCTCTCACCTTGGAGCAGCAGGGGCCCCTTCAGAGTCCTTTGAGGCCTATACTCCATCATGGGCCATGTCCCCTGGGAGGCGGGCGGGGTGGTGTCATTAACCCTCTATCATGCGGGGAGAATGGGGCGCAGAGGGGAAGGGAATGGGTAATACCACTAGGCAGGGAAGTGGCAGGTGGATGAGCGCGCAAAGCTGCTCATGTCCCAGGCCCTGCATCAGACCATAGTGTCCTGATCTTTCCTTGTAGCTGCTGTGCTTGTAACACTCTGTCCCCACCTTCCCTCCACCCCAGAGGCTAAAACCTGGGCTCTCAGCCCCCTCACTTCACTGGCCTGGGCTTCAAAGTCAGATACCATCAGAACCCAGCTCTACTTCTTACTTTGTGGCCTTTGATCTGTCACGTACCTCTCTGAGTCTCACCTTTCTCAACTGTAAAATGGGGATAAGACCTGCCTCACAGAGCTGCAGGAGGATCAGACAGATACCTTTCCACAAACATCAGTTGAGGGCTCTACTGTGCACGAGCTGCTGTGGTGGGCATTTTGGGAGGAGACCTAGGGCCTGGCCTGGGCACTATACAGTCTGATGTGAGTGAAAAGGACAAGGCACAAATGGAACAACCAATGGCAGAGTGTCCGAGAACCCTAACAGAGGACCAGCCTTACCCAAGGTATGAACAAGACGTTCATTCATTCATTCATTCATTCATTCGTTTGTTTGTTTGACAATCTTTTCATGAGCAACTACTACATGTCAGCTGCTGTCCCAGGCATGGCCCACCCACAATGTGTATGAACCCATTCCCATTACAGCAATCTCGACAAACAGAATGGCTCCAGGGGCCCCCTCTCCAGGTCCCCTTACTCCACTGCTGGCAGAGGCAGCAGCCCTCTCCACTCCCAGGGCCCTCTCTTCTCACTTGTCGGGTTTCCCAGGAAGCAGCAGCCTGAGGCGGCATTTGTTGGCGGAGTGGATCTCCTCCTCCTTCACTCGCATCAGCCTCTGCAGGGCCAGGCACCAGTCTTGAGCCACGGTCATGTTCAGGTTCTAGGGTTGAGGAGGCCAGTAAGGTCACCACACAGCCCACTGGCTCCCCAAAAGCCACACAAGATCCGACAGCAATCCCAGCACCCAGAGGGAGAGGAACTGGGAAGAAGTCCTGCAGCCTCAACCAGACTGTTCACTTAGCCCCAAACAGGAGGCCAACTCCCCACGCTCTGGGCTTCCCAGTCCTGGGCTCAGGTCCCACTGGCCACCTCTCCCCCGTACACACCCTCCCAGCCAGCTTCCTTTCCAGACTGGGGCAGAGGCCCAGGAAGGGGCACAAGACCAAACCAGCCACTCTGCAGAGAACAAAAAAAGGCCCCGCAGACAGGCTCTGCTTAACCCAAACCAGAGGGTCAACCTGAACCACAGGCCACACACAGACTTCTAGGCAGGGACACAGAGCTGTAACCACCACAGATGCTTGTGGGAGCTGAGAAGCCAGGGCAACGTCAGGGGCATGGGCCAAGAGAGGAGCCCTCCCTGCCTCAGCCTTCTGAGTCCAGACACTGCCCACAGGGTGGAGTTCAGGGCCAAGAAGACGGGGCTGGCACCACATACCTGGTAGGTGCCATGCAGCGTGCTGATGAGGAGCGTTATCTGCTCTACTACGGCCAGGTCCTTCTGCAGGTCCTGCAGCTCCTGGAAGAGGCGTGGGGGGCCGAGGTACACCTTATCTGGGCAGAGAAGAGACCCAGCTCAGCCTCAGGGGTGTGGAATGCCTGACAAGAAGCCAAGTATCCACTCACGTCAAAAAATAAGGGCCGGCCCGGTGGCGCACTGCTACAGTGCACCGCTTGAGAGCGCGGCAGCGCTCCCGCCGAGGG